TGTGTGTGTGTGTGTGTGTGTGTGTGTGTGTGTATGTGTGTGTGTGTGTGTGTGTGTGTGTCACTGTCAGTTTGAGGTGTGGTCAGTTGGACTCCTGCTCCTGCTTGATAAGTCTCCATTCAACCGCTCAGTGACACACACACACACACACACACAGCAGAGCGTTCCACAGTTTACAGAAAAACCTCACCCCCCCCCACAGATACCATTCAAATTCGTGCCGTTTGTAAGAATGCAGCTGAACCTCAGGGGAGACGCTCAGTCTCCCACTGAACTCCCCCTTTCTCCCCCTCAGCCTCTGGCTGGCCGCCCCGCCTCAGTGTGAGAGCCAGAATGCTGATTTTGGCTCCGGTGGTGCCATTGAGACGGACGTGAAAATCCAAAGCTCGGCTCCCTCTCGCCCTCACGCTGGGAAAGACGGAGCCTGTGTTGTTGGTCCTGGTGAAACCTCAGAGAAAGTCTCTTAACGCCACAGTCTGACACACCGGGCCTGTTTCTGTGGAAAAGTGGGATGACAGCTAAAGAACATTGAAACACCAGTGTTGCGTGAGGCTTTATCCAAAATAGACAGGACAGTGATTCATTTGTGACGATGAGAGAAGGTGATGACACCCGTCAGCTCCACCCAAGTGTCAACTCACCGTGATGTCACCCCTTGGTTTGTGAGATGAAGCTTTCAAGTCTCCAGTTTGACCTTTTTTCAGCGCCATCATGTTTTTTTTAAATCCGACAGTCACCATATGTGGAAGAGCGGGGGGGTGAGGCCTGATTGAACTGCGTCTGTTGTTTGAGTCTCATTTGAATCTGACCCACATGTTATCTCTCCTCACAGATCACCATCCAGAGGGACAGCGGTCTGGATGTCAACGCCCCAAAACATGGCAAGATCGATGCCAACAACGCTCCTCACGTCGGGGGGAACCAGTGGGCAGGAGGCACAGGTAGACTGTGTTTCTTTATTTAGGGTGACTGGTTATTTTTCAGTGGTCACCTGAGTGTTTAATTATAAGTTATAATAAAAACCTGAACATCAATCTATTGTGCATAAACTGTAAAATGAAGCATTTCTAGCAGTAGAAATGTGTAATTAGTGAACTAAAGATGTTTGTCCGCAGGTGGCAGAGACACGGCAGGTCTGGGTGGGAAGGGGGGGCCCTATCGCCTGGATGCAGGACACAAGGTCTACCAGGTTTCCCAGGCCGAGAAGGATGCAGTTCCAGAAGACGTCCGCAGAGCAGCTCGTGAAATGGCTGAGAAGGCCTTCAAAGAAAGGTATGCTGTGTTAAAAACAGGAAGTACAGTGATCACAGGCTGAAAACTGCCTCCAGTGCGCAGCACGGGGAGGCAGGGTCGACACCGATCTAATAACTCGCATCCAAGTTGATTTCGCTCCACGGGTGGGACGCTGTGTGGAGCACAGATGTTTTGGAGCGACAATCTTTTTTCCACCTTTGAAACCAGAACTGAAGTGTGTGATGTGTGTAATGTGGAACAGGTGTGTGTGTGTGTGTGTGTGTGTGT